GAGTGCACATATACAATAGTGAAGTTATGTGGTCGAGGCTGAAAGAGTTTTTGAGACTTTATCATGTCTTCAGAGGCTGACTATTCTGTAGCCGTATGGATGATTTCCTCTACTGCATGCATTACATTAGAACCTCTGAACCTCTTTCTAATTTTTACAAGTTTATGAACCACGTATAAGAAGTGTATCCACTATATTTCCTTGGTTTTGTATAATATATTTTTACTCTGTACTTACTGTCTGCTGATTGGCTAGCATTCTCAAGGTCACTTAAGATTCGTTCGAAGGTCGTCCATAAATTAGAGTCTCGCCACTCTATTTTTTAATTTAACCTTTTTAAATAGATAAACTCTAAGTATAAAATTGAATTAAGAGGATGCATTGAATAATTCTCTATCAACTTTTTGAAACTTAACAATAATATTTATTTATAATTCATGTAATTCATGATTCTAGTAACATAGTTTTATTAATGAATAATAAATAGTTTAAAACTTCACCATCTTTATGTTTGTTACTGACTATATTATTAGCTTTAAACATAAGCCTGTAACCGTATCAAAGCATTACACTGTCTTAGAAAAAAAATTACATCATGAAATATTCATGTGTGTAATGTTCATTTTAAAGGGAAAAAATTGAATAATGAATTATTGCTATGAATCAGAATATTACTGTCTTCTATAGAGATTCACTTGGTATTTTGTTTGGCTTGTATTTTTCCAATGAGGTTTAAGATTGCAATTGATCAGTCTGTTATTAGCATATGTGCATACTGTGCGTATGCCAATAACAGACTGATCAATTGCAGTCTTAAAACCTCAATGGGAAGATACAAGCGAAACAATACCAAGTGAATTAAACTTCACCCCATTGCATAAGCAAGTAGCTATCAGGACTCAGTAGCTGAGTGGATAACGTGGTGGGGTTTTAAGCGAACGGTGCTGGGTTCGAGTCTCAGAGTGAACGTCAACTCAGATGCAAGTACATCCAGCTGACGAGTCACAAGTAGGACGAAACACGCGTCCTGGATTCCAGTGCTAGCCACTATCATTGCTTACAAAAAAAATTCTGTAGAGATATCTATTGATTTACTAGATAGTATAAATCTTGAGACTAACTTACCTTCCATACATTAAATAGTTTGATATTTATCATTAATCATTATTTGATAATTAGTAATAATTTCAAATGTTTCATATATGTATACAACTAGTAGATCATTATGGAGCATATTTAACTAAATTACCAAGTGATTAATCAACAAAATTACATTAATTTATTAAGTAAATAAAACTATGAACCTTAGATGTTCTATACGATAAACTTATGAGGTCGTATAGAACAAAAATTATAATAGTAACGGAAATGATTATTTTTTTCTACAATTAAAAGAAAGAGTATTCACTGTTGAACATTCATACTGATAGTAATTAATAAATAAAAGGCAAAGTCTTCTCAAATGATTTAACTAATGTCAAATTCACCAAATTTATCTCTTATTTGTTATGTATTACAATTTGTTTATTGATAAAATGAATTTTAGTAAATAAATTATTATTTCCTACTATGACTGAAATTCATTAGAGATACATATGGATGACGTAAAACAGTTCGATGTTTTTCAAAACAAAGAATACATCTATCTATCTATCTATCTATATATATATATATATATATATATATATATATATCTTACGTAAATTAGTATTGGTAAACGTACTTTAATTTTTATTGTCAACAATAATAGACATTTAATGTTCATTTAAATTAGCTTATGAATCGAATTCAAAATTAAAGAGCTAAATTATTTTGTTTTAATTAAAAATTAAAGCATGTGACATAAACTTTTATATAATTTGTTTTCTGTAAAATATCATAATCAACATCATAATTTGAGAAATTCTGAAATAAAATTCGATGATAACATCGGTCTAGCGCATAAGATTGAAGGTTGTGAGTTCGAATCCTGCGAGTGGGATTATAGATGCGCACTGTTGAGGAGTTTCATACTAGTGTGGTTTGTGCTATTGATGTCGATAGATATGATTAGTGTGTATCATCAGCTGAAAGTGAAATATCAAGAAGTAGAATATTGAGAAGAGCGAAGAAAAGAGAACGAGAACAGAGAATGATTGATGTGGAAATGAAGGAACAATAAAGTCTGAGACTACTGATTGATATCTGCAAAAGGAAAAGTCATGTCTGAGACAACTGATTGACATTATGCAAATGAAATATTCACCGTGTTCTGTAATTTTGTGTGCAAATACAATCGATTGTCTCCATTTGTGTTCTCGTTCACTACACTAGGACGGAACGGCCGTCAAGTGCTTCCAGGTTTTCCATGGTGATCTAACTTTAATCGACTTATGAATTCAACTATTAAATTAGAAATGTGTCAGCAAATTTATGAATTAGTTATCGTGTCGTTTTGTTTCCCAGGTTGTATATATGAGTAATACAAATAAATGGTACAACTTATTAATACATGAAAATCAGGTTACTTTCACTTAGATGTATGATAATGCGATGTTAATGCTATTTCACCATCATTCTACTAATTTTGAAAAAGAGTCAAACAAATTTCCTTGTTAGTTACTATAATTATTTCTACGAAAAAAAATAATATGTCACTCGGAAATTATCATAAAAACTGAATATTATACGGCGAAACTATAATTTATGGACGAATCAATCAGATTTAGGATAACAGGTCTTGGATTTTTGCGCGAAATTCACTCACCCATTTGACCAAATAGCATCTTGGCATTTTAGCTGGTGTCATTTCGTGATGAAAAACTGTAAATCTAATTTCTAACCTTAACCATCAACTGTGAATCATAGTTCTGATCCCTCACGCAGGTTGATAATCTTCATTTGATCCTAGCTATTAGGTGGACACTCTCAAGGTCACTCTAACGTCTCACAAAGGTTGTCCATTGACTATACTCTTACCTATTCTACTTATGCATTTCAATGATCATATTGAATAATAATAGTCATTTTTTCAATTTTTTTCAAAAATTACAAATTCACTAATTTTTTGATCATTTCTTATCTGATGTAAACAAATATGTCAAACAAATATTATAATTTCTTTTTTGCATTAGTTGTTTAAATCGTCCCATTGATGTTTCGGACTGAAACTGATCAGTCTCTTATTAGCATATGTGCATCCTGTCCAAATCTCCTCGGTATTGCCTTGAATAACAAGCATTATAAACAGAGATAGATAGTGGCTAGCAGTGGAGTTCAAGATGTGCGCTTCGTCCTACTTGGGACTCGTCAGTTAGATGTACCTGCATCCCAGAGCTTACGTTTACTCCGTGACTCGAACCTAGTGCCATCAGCTTCAAGCACTTTCTAAGGTACAACTAGCTAACGTATTGAAAATAGTACAAAACGCGAGTCCTGGATTCCACTGATGACCACCATCCATCTCTGTTTATAAATATGATAACTATTACTTAAGACTACTGTTTGAACTTTTAATTTAACATTGCAAATCATCTTGGCGCAATTTAAATTTGTATCATTTAAATATCTCGTATAAACACGCATGTTTTTTCTCCTATACGCTTATATGATTTTTCTTTTCATTACTGGTAGCATACAAGGGGTTAACGAATTTTATAAAATTGCATTTTCCTAACAAAAAACATTTTAGTAATTCTGTTCGATTAAATTTTAATTTTTTTGATTGAGATCATGTGCCGATTGGACGGCCGTTTCGTCCCACTGTGGGACTCCACAGCAGTGCGCATCCCGGATTCGAAACCAGGGCTTTCGGTCTTGCGCGCGAACTATTAACCTACTGGACCACTGAGCCGGCATCCAATGGTGTTAGTGTCTAGCATCAACCAATCCACGAAATTGCGCGACCATCTTCCAATATACTGAGGTAGATACCTGTCTCTATCCGACACAGATTTTAATTGGAAAATCTCATCAATTAGTCTAGTTGTGTCATTTTGAACAAACGTTTATAGTACAATCCATAATTTATGTGGATTACATGAAATACGAGTGATAAAAAACGAGTTATCTAGTGCTGTTCAAATGCGAATTCAGGGTATAGTAAACATTTGTTTACGTATTGTATTTGTGTACTAATTTTTATCAAATGGTCAATGAAATATGATGCTATAGCCAGGGAAAGATAAACATTTTTTTACTGTGCAATTGAAAGTATATATGAACAAATCGAACCTGCTTAGGGATCTGTGGATTAAGAACGAATGAATATTTATTTATGTTATCACATTTAACGTAGTCAGAGATGAATTCAAATAATATAATTAACTATATCTATTGCTGTTGAAATGATGTTCGGGCTTGTGTTTTTATTTGTTAACCAACAGTTACTATGGTGTAGCTAACCATAGTCCATCTCTTTTATTCAGATTGTTCTGATTTTCCAGCATATACAGAATTTCAGCAGTTACTCCTTCTTTAAGACATTTAGTTCCTCCAAAGTTAACCATACGTTTTGTTTCCAATGTCTATAGTACAATTGTTAGTTTGGTTTACTAAGTGCTTTAGGTTTTATCATAAACAAAGAAATGAACGTTTTCTCTATCGTAACTAAAACAACAGAAAACACATAAACCCATGCTTATACGCTTACCGCATTCTGAGAACTTTCGACATCAAATGACTAATATTCTCATTGCACACTAAGTCGATATCTGAACAGAATTGGGCAAGAATTTGAAAAGACTTATATTAAACCTTAATTATCTATGATAATTTTGTCTTGCCATAAGTAACTCTGATCAGACTGTCAGATAAACTTTTGAAACTATTTGAAAATTCAGGCGCCAAAATTATTTAAAAGATAATTTTTATATTCGATGGTTTCGATATAATTGGTGCTAAATATTTTGTTAAACAGTTTCTCTAATTAAGCAATGTAAATTAGTGTTCAATGTGTAAATTTTAGTGATAACGTGTTAGCGCCAAATTCTCTTTTTCTTCTCTCTTCGCACTATGTCTAGGTTGTTTTACTTTCATGGATTATATAATCTAGGCTATATATTGAACAGGTTGAATGATGCTCAATAATATAACTCAATTAACAACAATGATAACAACCATAGCATCAACAATAACTACAAACAATCTATCAACATCACCAATAAATGAAGTGAATCAATCTATGACAACAACATCATTAGTAACAACTACCAATATTATGCCAATAATCAATGCAAAATGTAAACCTATTGAATCATTAGAATTATTTGGACGTGTTTACGGTGATATGCATGGATATATTACATTATTTCTATGTCCTATATGTGTATTATCTAATATTTGTATTGTAATTGTACTTAATCAACGTGATATGATATCACCGACAAATTTTCTATTAACATCATTAGCAATCAGTGATGGTTTATTGATGATTTTCTATATACCATTTACAAGTTATTTCTTAATTGGTCGTCATACACGTAATTCAACTTATAATTGGGCTGTTTATCTTCTATTTCATATTAGTCTACAAAATTTTCTTCATTTAACTTCAAGTTATATTGTTGTTGTCATAGCTGTATTTCGAGTTCTCTATGTAAAATTTATAGTCAAATGTCAAATTTTATGCAGTATGCAAAGAGCTAAATTTGCTATTACAATAGTATTTATAATTAGTAGTATATTATCTATTCCATGTATTATGAATCATCATATTGTACAAAATAATAATGAACATAAATTGAATAGTTACATGGTTACTTATGTAGATAATGAAGTTATGTTAAATTATCTTTATTGGAATACGGCAATTTTTTTGAAACTTCTACCATTAGTATGTTTATGTGTACTTAGTTTTATGATTATATATACAATACGTAGACAAAATTCACGTATGAGAAAAATGAAAACCAAATCAATGATATGCGTTGATCGTGTTATTGAAACATCCAGTTCACATAATCCAACTAGTTCAAATTCAATCATCATTAATTATAATGAATTAGATCAAAATCAAAATCAATTAAATAATCATGATATAAAAGAAAAGATTAAATTTCAACCCATTCATGGATCTAATACTTTATCATATACAACTAATTCAATGTACAAAAATGTTACTCTATTAAAAAAACGTAATACATTTGAAAATGAACGTGAAAAAGCAGAAAATAGAATGACAAAATTTTTATTAGCTATTGTTTTCATATTTATGATTACATTACTTCCTCAGGTAAGTTGTATATTATTTATATGAATGAAAGGATTTGTAAGTGACTGTTTCTAAGTGTTTCTTTCTTTTTTGTAAGAAAAATTTATTGATTCCATTAATGATGATGTAAACAAATGCTTCCTTATTAGATTGTGGGGTTTTTGTGAAGATTCTAGTAGTTTAATAGTTGAATTTATCAGTCGATTAAAGCACTGAATGGCCGTTTTGTCCTAGTATGGGACTTCTCAGCAGTAAACATCGACGACCCAATACGCAGGAATGGAGACCAGGAACTTCAGTCTCGTGAATAAACGCTTAACCTCTAGATTTTGGATGACACTGCTGAGGAGTTCCGTAATAGGAACAAAAGGCGTCCAGTTCCTTTAGGTTTTCCAAGATGGTCTAGCATAAATTGACTCATAAATTCATCTGTTAAAATGCTTTCTTACATAACCGTCATCGTCCTTGGTGATAGGCGTAATTATATCATAATGACATTTCTTTTAAGGGACAAAATTAACTAGATATAAAATTAAGTTCATTTTAGTGTTCCCACATGACTTGTTTGACCTTTATATGTTCACTTGTTTGTATACCATTGTATTTGAAGGATTGAGAGTGTAGTATATTAGCGGACATTTCGCACACAGGAGTGAAATTCTTTTATTTAGTTAGGAAGTACATAAAATGTTAGTTTGATTTCATTGGTGAGGATCTATTCACAAGTTTGTTCTAAATCAAGTCTATCACACTAAACATATTTAGATATCTGCTTTAAAAAAAACACCAACTAACCCCAGAATCTATGTATTTTAAATTTCTAATCATCACTTCAGAAACATTTGTTTACATAAATTTTGTGATTTAGCGTACATGCTAGTGTTTTAATGACAAAGTTTGATTTAAACCCTACTTGTTAAAACTAGCAAGAGTTGGCACAATTTCCTATGCTTATCAGTCTGTCATCACAACTTATATATTTGATAAGTTTGTGATCAAAACTAGTAATACTTTACCCATAACCTTTAATGAAATCAATAAATTTGCAAGGATGATGGTAATGGAATATTATTTTTCTGAAAATTTATGTTCTGAATTTTATATTTTGTCTTCCCTCAAAACTTGTTCTGTCCTAGTTAAATCTAAGTAATTTAGATTTGGTTTGCTTCCAAAAACACAAGGAAGATCTCGCACGACCAAACCATCCAGCTCAGAGAACAAAACTCCATCAAAATATTAGAATAACGAAATATATTGAATAAAAATAGTGTCTGGAAAAAAGTAAATTAATTCAACAATACGATTGTTTTAAACTGAGCCAAACCATAATGATAAATGTAATTATTACTCGGTTTTAGTCACAAATCGGATTCAGATGCAAGATACGTTAGCTCTAGCGGACAGCGGATAATCACTCGTTTGTATTTTAAAACTCATCAGTATTACTGACCTGTGATAGAGCACTATAATGAACCAAGAATACAGTATTTTACACAACGTATGAAAGATTCCTTTTTTGTCTCAATAGTGATTTGAGTTCGATCAGTGAACTTCATAAGCAAACATTCTGACATGTATGCATATTGAGCCATCATCCTATGAAATTGTCAACAATGGTTCACACAGAACTACTTTAATCACTATAGTCTTTTATACAGTACATAGAAGTGAAATGTTCATCCATAAAATATTAGCAAATAAATTACGAACAGACTAGAAGTTATTTATTGTGAATGATTTGCTATAAAATTATACGTTTAGAGTTGAAGTAATTATCACTTTTGTGTACCTTAATCCATGTACTTTTAGTAGAAAAACAAAATGAAGTTTCAATTACAGAAGAGTTTGTAAAAGAGTAATATGTTATTTAATCATCCATATTACTGTACATTATTCAATAAGCTAGTATATCCATTCATAGATCAAACACTAAAAAAATGATGGATTAGGTATGGGTACAATATCCAGTCTAATCCAATTGAATCAAAATATATAAATCCTTAATCTAAAATCTATAATGATTGAAAAGATTAGTACAGAAAATCGCGTGATACTGATCATTAGTTCTACCTTGATAATTTCAAATAGGAAATCATTTTTCTTCTTTCTTTTTCAAAAGAAAAGAAGATTGATTTAACTCCACTTCAATAAAATAAAATCAAGCATGTAAAACTTATATTATTGACAACTATAATTCACTAACTGAGTTTATGAGTCAATTAAAATTAAACTACCATAGAAAACCTAGAAACACTAGACGGCCATTATGTCTTAATATTGTATTCCTCAGCAGTGTACATCCACAATCTCACTCGAGAACGCTTAACCTCTAGACCACTGAGCCTATATCCAGTTATGTTAATGTTTAACTTTAATCAATCTAGATTGTTTCGTAAAGAAATTGTATTGCTTTGATTTATATAAATGACAACAATTCAATTCGAAGAAATAACAAAATGTAGATGTCAATTATTTTACATACAAAAAGTTATTGAGTTTATTTTCGCAATAAATTACTGTAATAAAATATTTAATTACCAAAAAAAAACAAATATGTCAATCATTCATTCGATTTAACTATTTCCATAGTTCGATGATACTACTACTACTAACAATAATAATAATAATAATAGTACCCATACTATAAGTTGTATGAATGTCTAGTGTGACTTAATTACCATTTTCAGAATCCACTTATACACTTTGATACTCATGACAGTGTTATCAATAAAATTATTCAAATTCTTTATTTCATTATTAAGTTGAACAACAGAGAATAATCTAAATAAACTCTTATCCTGAGACTGGATGGTGGTTGGAGGTAGTCAACAGGAAACTATGGACCCGGGTTTCGTGCTACTTGGCACTCGTCAGCAAGGTGTAACTGCAATCCTGAGGGAACTGGTTCTCCCTGGCGGATTCGATCCCGAGTGTCAAGTAGCATGAGACCCGGGTCCTGGGTTTCCTGTCGACTACCTTCGACCACCATCTAATCTCAATAAATAGTGCCCGCAGTGTCGAGTCACCTAGACTGGTGGCCACATTGCAACATGATCGATAGCATTTAATCTGCACTAGATAAATACTTGACACATATGACATTGATCACCACCCAGTGGTCAATCAATTGTGAAAACTCTTATCCTAGTGATTAATCTATTCAAAGAATTATAAGATTTACATTTACTTAGTTCATTAGTTATTAACTATAAAACATTTCTAAAATTAAAAAATATCCTACTCACTAATTCAACTTCCTACACACTCTTATTTGAATGAAATATTGATATGAGCATAACATGTTTGAATATATATTTTATAGTTGTCATGACTTCACAGGAAGATGTATATTGATAGACTTGTGGTGGAGCAAAAATATATTAACTCAAAAATAGCAATAAAGTTATTACGTCCAAATGTTAATATTATAATATATCAGTTATAAGTAACAAACACACAAAAAATTAAAGGACGTTACTTAGATCGGCAAGCTTGTGCGTGCGTTTAGTACCAGGATCCACAATTATGGATAATTAATAATTCCAGTGAGGTTGTTATGGTTCCAGTAATTTCAACAGATGTAAAATATAATGTGAATGTAACTGCAGTCTATAAATGTAGATAACAGATACTTCAGAGTTCAGTTATCATAACCACAGGTTATGCGGAACGATAGACGTATGTATAATAGTGTATTTACGAGTAGTTAGCAATGTGTGTCATGTTGTGAGTGTTACACAACGGAAGAAAGTGTGTTCAAAGTCATGCACTTAAACAACATATACAATCATTTTATGGTAAATGTACAAACTGTGGAAACGGACAAAATAAATGTAAATAATGTCAAAAACTTTTTGTAAGCAATGACGGATAGTGGCTAGCACTGGAATCCAGGACGCGCGTTTAGTCCTATTTGGGACTCGTCAGCTGGATGTACTTGCATCTCAGAGATGATGTTCACTCTGGGACCCGAACACAGTACCATTCGCTTCAAACGCCATCACGTTATCCATTCAGCTACTGAGTCCTGATAGCTACTTGCTTGTGCAATGGGGTGAATTTAAATTTACTTGGTATTGTTTTGCTTGTATCTTCCCATTGATGTTTAGGTCTGCGATTGATTATATGTCCACTATGTGTATGCCTAGATATAAAGTATGGTTAATAATCAACAAATGTTCTAAGTAGAGATGCTATAATTAAGTAAGGATTGTTTACTTTAAAAAGGAATTCTCACTGTATTATTTCCCAAATTTATTGTTTTAATTCATAGTTCTGATTAAATTTTTAATTCCCTAACGTTATTACCCGATCTAGGATCAAAATGTATTTTATTTATTCATAGATTATATGGATTAAGCAACTTTCACCCATCTACTTTATCGCTCTTGATCATTCATTAAAATTAACCAAAATATCTAATTTAATTTAATTAGGCATATCATTATAAGAAATACCATCTGGTTGTTATAATTAAATTAATCTATAGAAAAATAAAGAAAATTAATGGTCAATTAATGTTCAACACAGAACAATATATGATTTTATATAGCGAGTTATGGAACAACTCCCTTTATGGTTCGTTAAAACAATACACAGCTCTGTTCTATCATATATGATCGATGGAGGTTATGTAGTAGATAGCGTATCCCTACTAGTTTTTTTTACTTTTGAGGTTCGATCTCACCTTCTGCACATAACAGAAGCTATAGAGTTTCGAGCCAACAATTCAAGATTTGGATTCATAAGAAATTTGTAAACCTTTATTCCTTTATTCCACAACTAGTAAACCTGTAATCACACTATTATGGTTGGTTATGTAATTTGTTCCAGTGTTATTACTGACTTGTAAACTGCCATGATTTTCGAATATGCAAATAAATATTACTGTATATAAGAGTAAAGCCTAATGAGGATCTAGTTGAAAACAATATCATTCACTTATATATCTTGTTCTCATTAATGATATCATAATTCTTAAAATTACAAATTATTTACACTATAATATTACCTAATGGTTAGTTACAGAAAAAAAACCTTTAGCGGAAGTTTGAGATGAAAGGTTTAAATTGTTTTAATCGCTGAAAGGAACAGAATACAAAGATGGCTGAAATAGTGAAGAGCCAATATTTTTTGTTTAAAATCAAAAGGCATAAAGTCATATTTCAAATTGACACTGATTGGTTATATTTCATCTAGCAGTAATATCAATTCGTCGATTTCTAGTAAGACGTCAGCTGGTATGTTGAAGTATATATTCAATATATATATATATATATTTCAGCAGTTCTTATTTCTTGAACATTTCATTGGATTGATCTAATTGATTTATTTATAAGTTGTAGTGTTATGTAATAGTTTAAAGACAAACAAGTAAAACCACTTCGAAAGTTCATCGAAATCTACTCAAATCTTACTGTATTTTAATAATTAATTTTTCAATATTTTTAGACATTTTTTTGTTTGTTACTTTTAGTGATAAATAAGTTTGGAATTTTCAGGTTAAATAAAAATCTTATCACTTTGTAATTACCTTTTTTAGGTTCGAATTCCATTAGCGAGATCATGGGTGCGCATTGCTCAGAAATGCAATATTAGGACGAAACAGCCATCCAGTTCTTTCAGGTTTTCCATGGTGGTCTAGCTTTAATCAACTCATGTATTAAATTAATAAATTACTATAATATCCACAAAACCCCTATCTAATTTTTTTAACAGCAATAATATGGATAGTTAATCATCGTCTACTTCGAAACATTCAGGATTAAAATATAAAAATTTTATTTCATAACGTCACATAACTTAGGAAAATCAGTTACATGAAAAGATGAAACTCTGACAGGATATATACAAGATCGTCCACACATATGTGAAGTGGTTGTGGATTACAAACCTTCAACTTCAGTTGATTGTTATTCGGAATCCTTTATCAAAGTGTACTAACTATGTTGAGGGAACTGGTGCTTTCTGAAAGATTCGCTTTTGTATCATTCAGCCTCATTACCAAGCTATTCTGGAGTTCCCTTTAAGATTTTTATATTTTTAATTGTTTCAACAAAGACATGACTATCTAGTCCCTTAGATGTTGATTAAATTCTATCAGTTTAGTTGTACTATGGCAATATATATATATATATATATATATATATATATATATATATATCTTTACTTATGTGCATAGCATTATTATAATGTTTGTTTCTTTTACTACTTTTTATACATTACAGGCAATATTATTATTTTTAAGTGGACTTGTGGGTGATTGTTTCACAGATACTGTGTATAATGCATTGGGTGATTTTATGGATCTATTGACAATTGTTAATAATGGTATTAATTTTATACTGTATTGTTCAATGTCACATCAATTTCGTACAACTTTCATACAATTCTGTACAAGGATATTTAAAATATTTAAAAAGACCTAATGCCCAATATTGATAAATCTTTGATTTTCGCTTATTCTTTTCATTCTTTTCAACGCACTTTTCAACACCTCAGCCGTGTTCTTCATACATTTCACATTTTCGCAGTGAAATACGTATGTACAGGTATCTTCTCATTCCCTGTTAAATACAGTAGAACAATAATGAAATAAAAATACATATGAAACTAGAGGAAAAGAACTGTAAATGTGATATGTAGCTAGAATGAATAAAAATTCAGTTTTCTTCACGAGATTTGATTGTATCTTACTTATTGTCTATTTATTGTTTATAATGAAACCACAATTATGTTTGGTAATCCAATGTTATTGTAAAAGAAAAACTGAATACAATATTGTGTGTTTTCTTTATTACAATTTAGAAGGGGAACTGTGTTTACATGACAAATATTTACCTGAGGGATCATAAAGTTCAGCCTATTTCATATCAAGCATTTAGACACCTCATATGTATGTGTATCAATTTCTGTCTGATTTATGAGTATTCATTGTAGATCTATACGATTTCCTTCAATATAATTATTGATTACAGGCATATTGTATCACATATATTTGGTAAGGTGAATTTTAACTTCATTTCATCCATCCAAGTTATTAAGGGTACAATAATTATCTTCTCAACAAAGTTTAATGCACTTAAGTCAAGATGAATGAATGTATCCTGAGTTTAATTAAACTTACTCATGATAAAATTTATTTTAATGTTTTATCATAATTGATGTTTCGGTGAATACTTAAGGATACACTGAAATAAAACGTTTTTGTTTACCATTAAGATCAAGCTAATCATGTTTTAATGATATGTAATTGTTTGAAACTTAATAGACATATATCGTATTTCATTGCATGAGCAATATGAATTTCAATTGCTTAGTACTTTACATTTAACAATTATCATTTGACGTTAGTTAGCCAATTGCATTCGATTAATGAATAGGTGAACTTATAACATTATACATATCTCAGAAACTATTCATATACCAGAGGTGTTGGTTGTAGTTTATGTGCATTTTTTAAAAGTTTATATCTTACTGTATGAAACACCATTTGATAAGGATTGTGCTATGAAGTATTCCATTGATTATAAAATATGAAGTACATTTAAATCAATCTGTATAGAAACTCTTCTATTGAACATAAGGAAGAATTTTTACGTATATAAGAAAAAGTGGATTAGTTGTGAGATTTTATCAGTCACATAAAACTTTCAAATAACTTGAACATTTCGTTTTTTTTTATTTCTAATTCAACTAAATTATTATAAATGAAGGGTATTGATTATATTGGTAATTTTTTTTCTATCTAACTGTTATAACTTGTTAATTAAATGCTACTTTTTATATCTGGTCGTCGCTGATTGTTATGTCGGAAACGCTTGTCACTTATACTCGGAACGAGGAACCTCTACAATTTCCACGATGCGAAAGTAAGAACACAAAGACTGGTATAAGTGATGATTTATTAACCCCGAAACACGACGACGACAACTCTATTAGAAAATACACTCATTTATATATTGGTTGTACACCCATTTTGAATAATAACTAGGATGAAATCACATAACAAATCACAAACTAAGCATAGTTCATGTCAATGGAATACAAGAATATTGCATATTATACAGAATAAAATATCATACGAGACAATAAAACAAATACTACATTGAGTAATCATGACATTGAATCAAAACGGAAGTGATCTGGAACAAAACTCATAATGGGTAAATCAATTGAAAATCGACTTTTCTTTCCATTATATCACTAACACATTAAATTATGGTCACTATTTTGAGCGACTCAATATCATGTACCCTAATTTAATGATTATTTCATCCTTCCTCCAATGACTTAAGAAGGATGGTAATAATTTTGGTTTGTTTTAAAGAAATATTTTGTAAATATTGAATGAGTATTTTCATTATTCAGTTTCATAATGGTTAGGTACTAACAAAAACGTTGAATCTGTGTATCTGATAATTAATATGATGTATGATATAATGTTTTAAAGTTCAAAGCCATTAAATTATTGACTGCTTCTATTAACTACTTGAGTGTCTATCATTTATTACACTCCAAACATGTAACTTATTAATGAATGACAAGTAGTCCAGAGGTTAAATCAATTCTAATTAGCATCAGAGTCAGAAGTATGTTAACATTATTTTTCTTTTCAGAAAGCATATAAGTCAAATATACGATTTCTTAATGTTACGTAATATAATTGAACTGATGTTATGCAACCAGTGGAATATATAAAATATGGAGTTAATTTGTTTTTCGAAAATGTTTGTATACTTTGAAATAACTACAAATTATCTGTCCCAAATAATTAATTATCAAAATGCACCCATAACTGCATCATAATCATCAGTTGAAAACCAAAATAAGGTTAAATTTCTAAAGGTACGCCTAAAATTAACATGTGCTCACTAGTGACTAGCTTTGTGAAGGAATTTTCGAAGTTCTAATAAGAAGCCGTGACCAGTGGAGCTAATCCATGTCGGGTAGAGACAGGTATCTGCCTCAGTACAAAGGGAGACGGTCGCGCAATTTCATGGATTGGTTGATGTTAGACACTATCACCACTAGATGCCTGCTCAGTGGTCCAGCAGGTTAGGCGTTTACGCGCGAGACCGAAGGCCCTGGGTTCGAATTCCGCGAGCAGGATCGTGGATGCGCACTGCTGTTGAGTCCCACAATAGGGCGAAATGGCCGTCCAGTACTTCCAGGTTTCCAAAGGTGGTTTAACATCAATCGGTTCATGATCTCAATCAAAATGTTTTCAATTTGAATGCCATGTTTAAAAACGTTTTCATCCCGGTTATTCAAAGAAAAAAAGATTGAGAACAAGAATATTACGAGTAAACTAGTCATAGAGTTTTTTTGAGAATTATAATGGTACATACATTTTGACAGTTTGATCAAATAAATAATATTAGTTTATTATATTCAGTAAATCAACTTAAAAGTAATTATATTATATCAGTAAGAACATTTACTAGAAATAATAGCAGCTATTCCTTAAATCCCTACAGAAACCGACAAATACTTGAAATATAGTTGATGTTGTTAATACATTTTATGAAAAAAACAGAAAAACAACAATGAATCATACTTATATATAAAATATAAGTCAAGTTGGGAAAATTCAATAATGAGATGGTGGAGAAGGTTTGTTATCTCAGATTGATGACGATATCACCAACTGATGCGGTCGTTCAGAAGAATGATGAAAGCTTCACAACCAAACTATCCAGCTCAGAGAACAAAACTTCATCAAAATTCATTAAATATTTTACATTCTGTATAGATTTATTTATACAAGTAAAAATTTATTTAAAATAATGGAAGAAATTGACTACTGTTTAGACATCCTCTGTCGATAAAAATAAACTGTATGAGAGTGATTTTCTTTATAACTAAAACATTGACCATAGTCGAATGAAATTGTTCATGAAGGTGTCTTTTGGTGCTCATATAAACAATAATTCAATCACAGTTTTACATTTTTTGTTATCAGTTCATCCTAATTGCGCCCCATTTGATGATGAGTCAGACATGTTAAAATAATACACATTAAAATATGTGGCATTTAGTGCATTTGTTTCTAAGTAATAAGAAGAGAACATTATCTTAATGTAAATCGGGATCAAACTTTGTCTCACGTGATATATTAACACATCCCATTTTGTCAGTTATTATCAATGCGAAGTCTGTCATAGAGATACGTTGGTTCAAGTTACTGTACTACACTGGCAAGTGATGAGATTAACGAGGGGAGATATCAGTATATTTTAATGACAATAATGATTAAAAAACTGACTCAGGATCAAGAATAGGGCAAGAAAAAATAGTTAAAAGAAATAAATGAAAGAAAATTGGAATTCAAGATCGACAAAGATAAAGGGTAAATTCATCAACACCACCATGAACAATTCTACGTCTTATCACCCAAATTTTCTAACCATCGTTTACGGATATTTTGTTTATCTTAAAAACATAGTTTGCAACTACCACCATGGTTCATACCAACAGTCAATGGATTCATGAACTAATGCCATGTCTTTCTTCTTACTTAATTGGATATTAGCAAAAATCGCCTATCTAGATTGGGGATAGTTAGGAATGAGTAGCATATGTTCCAACCGTATCAGTCGACGGAGATCTACCTAATTAACCGATCTATCAATAGAAATAATGACTTACACAGATCTTATATCAATATATAATACATACGTTTTTAGTAAAAATATATACGTTTTGGCTAATGTCAACAAGTAAAATGAATTAGATGTATGGAAAAAATGATATCGATCTCTTCAATATGCATTAAACGGTATCTTGTTGGTTTAAACACTTTTGTAACAACGTACCTATGTAGTATCACAATCTTTCACATAAAGCAAGGTAGAAAATCAACAAGCACAAAATAACCCAGAAATGTAGGATATTACATGCGATAAGCTGTTAAAATTTAATAGATGAATAATTTCCCGTCAAACGAATACTTATTTTAAGTTTTCAACAACAGACAAAATAAGCAAAGATTTATAGTTGCTAGCATTGGAATCCAGGACGGGTGTTTCGTCTTATCTGAGAATCGTCAGCTGGAAATACCCACATCTCAAAGTTGATGGCCACTCTGGAACTCGAATGCAGTACCGTTCACTCCAAACGCCATCGTGTTATACAGTTAGCTACCGAGTCCTGATAGTCACTTGCTTATGCAATGGGGTGAAGTTTAAATTCATCTCGTATTGTTTACTTGAATCTTCCCATTGATGTTTAGGTCTGCAATCGATCAGTCTCTTATTGGCATATGTACGTACTGTGTGTATTGTGCCGAAGTATGAAATAATAACAATATGAGAAGAGGAATGAATAATTGTCATTTATTATCATATTATGTTATTAATGAATCTTTAAATCATTTTTCTATTTCTCCATATAATCTTGAAGATGAAAATAATAAAGTCTGTAAACAAAATAATCATTATTATTAGATATTATTGGACGTTTTACATTTGACTATAAATTAAGTGAAGCGAGGAAATTTGTTATTTTGACTGATTGGTTGGTTAGTTGAAAACAATGGGAAACGAAGAGATTAGATTTTGTATCAGTTTAGATTGATCAATAGACTATGTATTAAATTTGATGATAAATTCTTCTAGGGAATACAATGAGGAGGATATATATTTTAAGAAGTTAAATATTAAACGCAACGTTTTGGTATTTGAATATGAAAAATGCAGATCAGTAAATATGAAACGATTAAGCAAATTGTATTGTGAAATCATGAGGATAATTATTAGCCGTGATGGAGGATTTAAG